CGACCTCCGTCGCCCGCCGACTACGGTCCTCCTGACTTACGTCGCTCGCCGACTACAGTCCTCCGTCGCCAGCTGACTACGGTCCTCCTGACCTACGTCGCCCGTCGATTGCAGTCCTTCTAACAAAGCGAATACATCGATAGTAGCTCTTTGTATTTACATCATGTAATGTACTCCATAAGATGTACATCAAGCTAAGGCCTTCTCCCAAGGAAGGGCCTCATTTGTAATCGACTGCAAATACTAGTGGATTCATTCAAACTGGGCTAGGCCCCGTGGTTTTCCCCCCTTTTTTCAGGGGTTTTCCACGTAAAAATCTTGGTGTCTCATAAATGCTAGACCCTCTCTCTTATTTGATTGCGTGCCGGATTTTCGTACAACGCTAAGACGATAAACTTTATATTTCTCTACCGCCGCGAATCCTCCTGGACGCAACACTTCTAGTTTTTTATTTCTTGGCTGGGCATTCAGCCTCATTTGGGAGTGGCGGTTGCTTCAATTTTTGGTTTTATTTAGTTTTCAGACCTGGGAAGATCATTTTTGGGATTGTGGCTGCTTTTTTCTTTTTGCTCAATCCAGTTCGTTTTTGGAGAACATTGTTCTCATTTCTTGGGTTACTGCAAAGGCTATTTCTTGTTTGTTGGATGCTACTGGTGGAGGCTTTTTTACAATCTGACAATGATGAGCAAGGCCAGCTCCTTCCATTCGTGCCATGGACGGCCTGTGTGGCAACCTGGCTCGTCTTATGGTTATGTTGTCGCTGGCTGGAGGTTCTGTGATGGCCAATTTTGCTCAAATCTGATATGCTATGTCCAGTTTTCTTTTGGCAACCTGAGCCACCGCCACGGCTGCGTGGGATTTCTTCTGATTACTCTGATGACTTGTTCTGGCCTTTTTTCCTAAGTCTTTTAGATTGTAATTGTCTCCTTGTAGCCTTTTGTTGGCATTTGAGAAGTCTTGTTAGTTGTTGTTTTTTAGCTTTTCTTCCTTACAGGTTACTAGTAATTGAATTTTGATTATTAATACATGGGCTTCATGCACGAGGTTTACCCAAAAAAAAAAACAGATTACATAGAATCTAACGGCTACGAATAGTGAAGCTTGTTACAGGTGGAAGGTAGAGATAAGTTGTTATGCGACTGAGACAGAGTACTGGGAGAGTGGAGCTACAGTTTTCTTCTTGCAGAAAGTGACATGTAGTCATTAAAGTTAATGAAAATCAGATTACCTTTATCAAATTTGTTAGCCAATTACATCATGCTGAGCTAATTATCATTTAATCATTGGAGGATTTAAATATACATAGGAAAATAATAGCCAAATATTTTTAAGCAATAAGTGGCTAGATTTAAAGACAGATATTTATCTAATATCACAAACAACCATTTATAAATTTTAAAATATAAAATTAGAACTAATTAAAGTGTTAAAAATTTTATAAAAGTTAATACAATTGTTTAGACAAATACCTATTTAAAATCAATCATTAAGATGAAGCCGGCCAGCCTGTGCATGAAAAACATGCTTTCCACATTCAGGAAAATACAAATTAACCTTTCAGCAAAACAAATTTTTAATTTTAGACTTAATTTGGGATAGCTTTTATTTTTGCTTTTTAAAATAGCTTTTTTATATTATTTTTTTTTTTTTGGACTAAGGCTTTGTTTGGGACGGCTTTCTTACTGCTTCTTAAAGCATCTTTCTAGTACAAAAATTTTAATTTTTATACAAGAAAGCTGTTTTAAGAAGTAATAAGAAAGCCGTACGTCTCAAACAAAGAGACGGTTTTTTTCTGCTTCTTAAAACTTTTAATTTTTGTACTAAATAAAAGTTTTAAGAAGCAGTAAAAAAAGACGTTCCAATGAAGCCTATAAATTCTTATACTAAAAAGTTGCTTTAGAAGGCAATCATAAAATTATGGCATTAAGTAAATAGATAATAAGCAATTGACTAATAAATTATCTGAAACAACAACTACTTCAGGGCAGGGGATTCAAACCAGCCTGTGTTTGGATTCCTTACTGATTCCCCTCCTCTATGTTTCCTCAATAGAAAGAATGAATTGCCTCCATTCTTTTCCAAATCTCCATCTTTCTACTGATTTTGTACATAATTACAGTTTCTTCCCTCCATTAAAAATACAGCACAGCACTCAGTCTTTCTCATCAACTCCATACCTTCACCATCGCAAGAAATGTTTCTCTGTTGCTTCAAACTCTTCCACTTCCCTTCGAAGAAGAACAAATTATCAGCCGAGCTCATGGGATGACACTCAAATACAGTCTCTGAATACTTCTTCTTTCACTGTAATATACATTAATATTGTTCAGATCTCTTTTTCTTCTTGTTTTTATTATATATCAAATGTTTCTACACAGGGAGATGTGCATGAAAAGAGAAGAGAGAAGCTGAAGGAGGATGTGAAGCTTCTTATTAAGGAGAAGAGTTTTGCTGATCAGCTGGAGCTTTTTGATTCACTCCAAAAGCTTGGAGTTGCTTATCACTTTGAAGAGGAGATCAAATATTTGTTAAATTTGATGAAATTTTCAGAAGAGAAGTTAAGAATGGAATTCAATGAGGACATTCATGTCATGGCCTTGTATTTTAGGCTTTCAAGGGAGCATGGCTTTGAGGTCTCCAAAGGTAATCAACTATACTAAACAAAACTAATTTTCAAACATTTATTAGATATCAACTGCTACTTGCAAAAACCATCCTGCTGGTACCCTGATATTTTTTTGTATTAGAAATCGGTTAATTTTGTCACACATATTTATAAAATCAGTTAATATTAAAGATATTTTTATAGAAATTTTATGATTTCTTCTTGTAGGCATTAATAAAATAGCATATTTACATAAATATCATTTAAAACTATGATATTTATATATATAGCACTCACAATTTCATATCTACTTAGATAATACTCAATTATGTAAATAATATTATAAATAAAACTTTTCTCACCCTCCCCTTTAACTCTCCTAGTCACAAGGCCATTACAACAAACAACGAACTCCTCGTCTAACTCACATGTTGTTACTCCATAGATGTCCTTCACTCATTGGCAGTTGGAATTTCCTCTCCTCCTGTATCAATTTTTTTGCCACTTCATCGAGGGGAATTCAATTACCTTTGGTCCCATTAATGAAAAATTATTACGTGCGGTCATCGGACCGTTGGGAGGCCAATCAAGATGCTCCACGTCATTTGATACACAGTGGTACACAATCAATTTGTGATGTGGTGCATCCTCATTAACCTCCAAATGATATCCAGTGACCCCACGTAATAATTTCGCCCTATTGATACCCTGACTTATTCACGCATAACTTTATATAAATTAGATAATACTCAATTATGCAAATAATATTAAAAATGAAATCTTTCTAACCCTCCCCTTTAGCTCTCCTTGTCACAAGGCCATTACAACGAACAACAAACACCTCATCTAACTCATATGTTGTTAGTCCATAGATGTCCTTCATTCACTCGCCGTTGGAACTTCCTCTCCTCCCGTATCAATTTTTTTGCCACTTCATCGATGGGAATTCAAACACCTTTGGTCCCATTAATGAGAAATTATTCGTTCGGTCACCGGACCGCCCGGAGGCCAATCAGGATGCGCCACGTCATCTGATACATAGCGGTATACAGAAAATTGATGATATGATGCGTCCTCATTAACCTCCAAATAACATCCAGTGACCCCACGTAATAATTTCACCCTACTGATACCCTGACTTATTCACACATAACTTCATATAAATTATTCATACCTAATAATTCAGCCATGAAGCAAAACAACAATGTATTAATCAATCAAGTTAAGTATTTGAAAATAAGTTTGATAGAAGCTACACGCAACTGACAGAAGGATCATTATTATCGAGAGCCCATCATAAGCCAAAAATAAAGAATATATATTCCCATATCCCATAAAAATCCAAAACACATGCACCCTGAAGAAGCCACGTCATTGGGCCTGATGTCTTCCAATTTTTTTTTTTATTTTTTTTATTATCATGCAAAAACTTGATAAGAATGATCAACTCGCAAATTAAATATGGCTTAATTTTCCTTTAAATGTTGTGACTTGGCAATGGCTGAAATAAACCCAGTCTAGCCGAGCTCAAGCTCGTTTACCAAAACCTCAAGCTCGGTAAGAATCGAGCTTTTAGAGTCTTTGTTCGAGTTCGGGTTCGTTTAAAAAGCCCTTGCTCAAGCTTAACTCGTGTTTGAGTTTGAGCTCGATAATTTCTGGCTTATCGAGCCTCATTTAATGAGCCGGTTGTTTGGCTATTTAGCGAAAAATAAATACTAAAATTTACCAGTACCAAAGCAACCTTTGTTCCACATATCTTTTGTTTTATAGAGCAATAGAAAACAAATCCAGGGGGTGTGGGACTCTTTGTAGAGAGAGAAGACGGTGGGAGAGCAGAAACAGAGGAGGGAGAGAGGAGGACGGGTCCGACGAGAAATTTATAAAATAGAATTTTTATATATTTTTTTAATTTTTTATTTAATTTGTTAATAGGTCAAATAATTTGTTAATTTGTTTACATTATTTTAAATCCAAGCTTCTTAGTCGAGCTCTAATCAAGCTTCATAATGAGCTTGTTCACGAGCTCTTGTTGTTTGTGAGCATAAACGAGCCGAAAGCCAAGTTGTTCAAGTTCATTTATTTATCTATCGAGTATTTATCAAAAGTGTTCAAGTTTGTTCATTTACCTATCAAATGAATATAAACGATCTCTTATCGAGCTGAGCTATGAGTAGCTCATCTAACATTCTGTTCATTTGATGTCCAACTTTGCATGATTATATTTGCCTTTATTTTTCTTATAAATAATATATGCATAAAATTTTGTACTATTGTATAGATTTATTGGTTAAAAGCTACAAAGATGAGAATGGGTGCTTCAAGCCTTTTGTATTCCATAATATCAAAGGAATATTAAGCCTTTATGAGGCTTCATTTCTTGCAATGGATGGAGAAGATGAAATAGATGATGCTATGGAATTTGCTCTGAAACATCTCAATGATTTTATGAGATCAAATTTGTCAGAAAATCCATTACTAGCACAACATATAGCCATAGCTTTGGAGCTTCCTTTGCACCATAGAATTCTAAAGTTCCAAGCTCAAATGTTCATTGAGCACTCTCGTCACATCAAAGAGATTAATGTGGACCCAATTGTGCTCGAATTGGGTCAATTGGACTTCAACATGACTCAAAACATCTACAAGAGGGAGCTCAAGGAGATTTCGATGTACGTATTGTTAGAAATCGTAAAAGAGTAGCTAAATTTTTGTTTGACTGAATTATAATATTGGTACAAATATATCTATATAAAGGCAAGACAAAAGTTCAATATATATATAATGCACTAAAGGAGAATATTCTCAATAATGATTATATATTAAAATATTAATTGCAATAGATTATATCATAATAGAAATCATAAAAGGCTAATCTTAATTTGCTTAATTTAATTATAATACTAGTACAAACATATCTATATAGAAGCAATGCAAGAAAGTAATAAAAAAATAATAATGAACAATAATTTCCTTAATAATAAAAAATATTATAATAATGACTATTAGTCTATTGTATATTTCTCCTATAGATTCAAGTCATATTTGATAATATTAATATGACAAATAACTATCACAAATATAGCTTGTTATTCTTATTTTTTATTTTTTTATGAAAAATTAAGCTTTATATTTTCAAAGATCATTAATATTTTGAGAAGCACATATTGACATAAGCGCATATTGATATGTTGTTATAATGTTCTAGGTGGTGGACAAAAATAAGTAATGTATTCGATGGTAAGTTAAATTTTGCAAGAGAATGGCCAATGGAGAGCTACTTCCTAGCTGTTGGTATGGCTGTCGAACCTCAGTTCTCAACATGTAGAAAAGAACTTGCTAAAGCATTATGCTTTATAAATGTTATAGATGATATCTATGACATCTATGGTTTGTTGGACGAGCTTCAGCTCTTTACTGATGTTGTTGATAGGTGCATAATTAAGAAATTTTTTTAATTGCAAGCAGTTTGTATGCAAGTTATTTAATGACTAATTAATGATTTAATTTAGCTTCAATTGATTACATAGGTGGGACTTTGCTACAAGCAAACCACTTCCAGAATACATGAAGATATGTCTTTTAGAATTATTCAATACAGTGAATAGCTTATCATGCAAAATCATGGAAGAGAAGGGGTTGGATATTCTCCCATATCTTAAAAGAGCGGTAAAGTAACCGCAACTTTTTAATATACCCAAAAAAAATTTATAGTTATAATGTTGTCTGAAATGCCTGAAAATATGCTATTTTATTTCAGTGGTTAGATCTATGCAAAGCATATATGGTGGAGGCAAGATGGTATTACATTGGATATAGCCCTACATTTGAAGAATATTTAGATAATGCTTGGATTTCAGTTTCAGCCCCTTTAGTCTCAGTTATGGCACTTTGTCTGAGTGATAACTTAACAAATTTTTCACTCGAAAGCTTCGACTTCTATCCAAACATCATCCGTCAATCGTCTATTATTTTTCGGCTTTACAATGATTTAGGAACATCAAAGGTAATTACACTTAAAAATGAAAAAAAAAAATCAATTAGCATATGTTGCTTGATGAAGCTAATTTTATTACAAATATTCTTAATTTCATGGGTCATGTGTTATCCATTAATACATCTAAATTATTTGACAAAATAATTAAATTAAAAGATAAATATGGCTAAATAATCAAACATTCACACATATAATATAGCTAAACTATTTGTTTAATAGTTTAGTTATATTATCTAAAAATGAACGTAGTTGTATTTGTCTTTTGAATTTAGTTGTATTGAGAGATATTACATGATACATTAAATCAATAGTACATATAATAAAGTTAATCTCATTCAAATATAAAATATATTAGGATTTCTTTTCTTTCAAGATTTAAATAAATAATATATTACATGTTTAATTAATAATGATGAACAAAAATCTATTTGTGCATGTATGTAGGGTGAGCTGCAAAGGGGAGATGTTTCAAAATCCATCCAATGTTACATGAAAGAGAAACATGTTTCAGAATTGGAGGCACAAGAGTTTATAAGGAATATTATAAATAAATATTGGAAAGAATTGAATAGAGAATGGATAAAAGGCTTAAGCTACGAAGAAACATTCAAAATGGTTGCAATAAACTTGCCACGAGCTGCTCACCTTTTTTATCTACAATCAAATGGTGAGAATATTGGTGAGCTTAACATAGACAAAATGAAGGATAATGTCATCTCACTTCTCCTTGAACCCATTACATTCAACGAAGGTGATTAATGGTCAATTGAATTGGTAGGTGGCTTGTACATGAATATGATGAGATAATATCATACTTATATTTTGTCCATTTACTAACTTCTTGTAAATTTTTCTTTGTTCATATTATTTACTCTACAATATTAATTGATATAATTTGCAAAGATTTTCAAATTAAACATCTAACATGATAAATAATTTTGTACTGATTAAATATTTTCTCCATCTCCCATAGCTTTATGTGCATCCTAAAAATCTTTAGCATAAGCAGGGAGTTATTCTAACAAATGCACAACAATTTTATGGAATTACTAGAGTTTAGAAAGGTTAGAACTAGGCTTGATAGTCGGTCTACTTATGAAAATTATAAAAAAAAAAAAAAAAAAAAAAAAAATCAAACTACCATATTTTAAACTTCTTGCAAAATATTTTGCTTACTTATGTTATTATATTTGTATTTTGTTTATACTATGTTGTTCATAAAGAAGGGTTATTTCTTATTCTAATGTTAGAATATGAACCATGAAAAGTAAGGAATGCAAACAAGCTCGTTTATAGTCCGCCTATGCGTGCTAGTTAACATAATATATAAAGTAAAGCAAGAACTCAATAGGTCAAGGCCAACCATGGGAAGTTTAAAAGACATTTATCCACATTCAAATGATCAATTCAAAGATTCGTGTATTAATGTATTCATGTGCCTCTTAAAGTCACAAGTGTGTGTGCATATGGAATAATTTCACATGTTTCATGCATATGAAAGAATTATTCATTTCACATAGTTTATAAAGAAGAGCTTTTTAAATGTAAGAATATGAGGAGCAACAATATTGCAATATGTAATTATTAATCATATAAAGGTTAACATACAAGATAGTCGACATATTCAATCAAATTAAAATGTCAAAAGGTCAAGGCCAATCATGGTAAGATCAAATTCTAATATTCATGCATCAAACTATATCCCCTTCTTTTATAATCATATCCAATATTTGCCTCCTTTTTTTCATGTGGGTTATTCTACTTCAATATTGTCATATATTATTTCGGATAAATTGATAGCTTCTTCTCATCTTTCACTTATTACTAAACTTCTAGGTGCATGACCAACTTTGCAAGCAATTATAATTGCTTTAAGGGTATGTTGTATTACGGTAGGATTTATATTTCTCTTCTTAATCGTAAGAATGGATTGTTGAAGTTTGATGTCGTGGAAGAATATAGAGCTATGTTCTTATCTAGGATTTTGAATATTAAGGATTCCCTTATAAAGATTAGTAAATGATCTCCACATTTACATTTTTTTTATCATTGAAATTTCAATTGCTCAAATATATATGTATTTTCAACACCTTAGAACCCACCTTTTATATCATGTTTTTTTGTTAGCACTATCTTATTAATATGGTAAACTTCTCCACACTAATATTCCTATTGTTTCTCTAACCATCCGTTACTAGAATTCTGGTTAAAGTAAATGCAATTCAATAATTCCTATAATTATATAATAACATTGGGGAAGTTTCCACAGTTCTTTAATCATTACTACTTATTTAGGCATGAGGATTCCTTATGCTACAAATTAATATTCACAAGAATAGCTCTATCAATAGCATTGATACCCCATCATTAATAGATTCAAATCATATCCCTAAAGTGATTCCTTTAAATATGAAATATTTTGTCTTCATCTTCTCTTTCTTCATCACCAAGTCAACCTCCTATTCTTGAGACTCAATTGACAAGTTTTATAAATCAAGACGAACAAAATATTATTATTGTATTAATGAATTGTTTATATAAAATATATTTCCATTTTTAGATCATGAATTAGCTATTCCTGTGATCTCGATGATTTCTTATTAGAGGTGTAATTTCATTAACTTCTCTTCCTCTAGAAAAAGCGCATCATAACCTTACTAATGATCACTTAAATCCACCAATAAATAAAATTGTTATCTATCTGATATTAAGAGATAAGATAAATCATATATACCTTTATATATTATAATCCGATATAAATATGACGATCTCTTAGACTTTTTAGCATACTTCGCAGCATATTCATTAAATAGGTAAGGTTGAGGCAAAAACAAAAACATTAAGAGAAGGCCTCATATTTTGTTAGAGCATCCCTTTCTTCTTAGAAAACAGCAACCCATTTGAATGAGAAACTAACTTAGATTAGTACTTTACTTTCTATATTTTGTTTTGATTTTATTATCCTTTACTTTCTTTCTTTTTTTCTTTGTGACTCAAACTCCCCTTTTGTATTTTTCTTTTTATTTTGGTGATGAAAATCTTATTTTACTTATAAATAATAATAATCCTTCAATTCAATCTTCACAACCTCCAATCCACTAGGCCTCCACTTAAGGCTTGCTTGGCGAACAAAGTAGCTCTCATCCAATTTCAAAAGTTCATCTCTTATTCTCTTTCATCCAAAGCCAAATCCATTAACATTTATATATGTTATATACACCATACAAAAATATAAACCTCCACCCTTCCACCAATAATCCACTGACCACTATTTTACTCTTCTAACGATTAGGCTGATTAGGTTGGAGTCTATGAATCAATCCTAGATACTTCCATAAAAATGAACTAAAAAGTGAAATTGAAATCAAGAGATCTTGCATACCAAAAAAACACAAGTCAATAGTTGATTGCAAGATGGAAGATATTGCATAAGCCTTAAGAATTTTAAATAAACTTTAAAGAATTGAATATAATTTGAAATTCTTTATTACTATCTTCCATCATTATTGTGTTGCTTCAAATCAAGATAAATTGAATGGAAGCCATTGAAGGGGTGGTAATGGTGGTCATTGCAATTATAAATTAGAATACCTATAAATACATAAGAAAGAAGAAGGATAATGTTTAAGTGAATGGGTCTAGTTTGGGCTTAGAATTATGAATGATTGAGAGTATCATGATGAGAAAATCATTTTGATTATATATTTACAAATTAAAGCAATTCCATCCTAAATTTCATTTTTAAAAGTTTTAGATCAGCTTTTAAGTGTTTTAGCTTTTAGATTCTAAATCACAATTTTTGTCAAATCAGATGAAATTTTTAGTAAAATATTAGTTTTCTATACTTTATGATATTGAAATATGAAAGTCTAAAAATATTTTTGAGTTTTTAAAAAGTCAGCTCCTGAAAGTTGCAACATAAAAAAATTAGGTCTCAACTACTTGAAAATAAACATAGACCTCCCTTAGGAGCTATTAACTATAAATTATTTATCATCAATCACAGCTTCAGGCAAATGAAAACATTGCACTCTGTATACGAAAAACTCTGATATTTCTTCCGAACAAAATACCTCCTCTCTTTTATATGTATGTGTGCTAAATCTTCATATAAAACTAAGACATTAAATTTTATATTTCTCTACCACCATGAATATTCCAGCACGCAACACTTCTAATGATACTCCTTCCTAAATTATAGTCATGCCTAAAATATTGATGGAAACATCTTCCCAAAATTACAATCAAGGTAAGGAAGATTCAAAAGTCCTTTATGAGCCAATTAGCATTCAATAAAGACAACTAATGAGCCAACCCAAAAGCACCCCAACTCAGTACTAGCATAGCACAAATTAGTATAAGCACTCCTTAATACAAACACAAATGTGTTTCTTTTGTTAAATTTTTTTTTTTTTCCAGAACTATAGTCTGAAATGAAAATTTGTTATATTTCTCCATTCCATAACATCAGTTCTTATCTCAGGTTTTGTTTGTGACGACTTTCTTTTGATTGTTAAAACAAATTTTTAGTACAAATATTAAATTCTTTGTACTGAAAAGTTGCTTTAAAAAACAGTAAAAAAATTATCCCAAACAAAATCTTAGAAGCTGATATTCCTTTACTTAACGTTAATATTTGACCAGGCTAAACATACAAACTCATCAAACTTTCATTGCTACATGATCGAGAAGAGATTATGATCAAGAAATTAGTTTGTCAAAAATATACAATTCCTCATGTTATAACACAGCCGATCATACTCCAGATTCATTAAATTTATATTCCTCTATATAGTTTTAGAGCTTCAAATACTCCAAATATCTCTAAATGGAAGTAAAAAGTACCTGTCATTCCTGTGTCTTTGGCCTGATGCACCCACAAATGCGTCCTCTCTTCCTTCCTTGTCCAACTCTCCATCCTTTGATATAGTCCCTCAGTAGCACCTGAGGCGTTCGATCACCCTCTTGGGTCCTTTTGCTTTCAACCTCTTCATCAAATTTGGCAAACAAATAATGCATCTCCTGCATTTCTAGCTCTAACTTCTCAATCTGATCCATAACTATTAGCACCTGCTCCCAAACTTGCCTTTTGTCTAACCACTCCGTCTTTTCACCATTAGATGATTTGAAAGACTCTTCCAGCTTCTTCCTCAGCTTGTCCTCAGTATCAACCAGAGATAAGATTCCTTCCTCGGCTTGTTTCAGCTTAGTTTGCATGGCAGTATGTTCTGAACATTTCCGGCGATCTCGTTTGCCGGATCTCTCCACCTTTGCCCTGAGTTCATGTGCAGTTGTTTTGAGAGCTGAGAGCTTCTCGGCACCCGTCGAAAGCCTTTCGATGATGCTTCTGTTCCACTCTACTCTGGACTTCTTCATCTCTGTAGACATCTCAAGTTTGTCAACACCTACCTCTTTCTCAGCAACTATTTCGGATGAATGCTCCTCACACCTGAAATCCTGCACTCCCTCTATGCCATGGCCATTAGAAACTGAATTGCTGTAGTCTCTCTCAGCAGTTTCCCATAATTTAAGCATCTGGTCCTCAGATTCAGCGCTTTGGATCCTGCTCAGCACAAGGGAATTTGAAACTTGATCAAGCTCAATATCTTTCATCAGCTGCCCATCCTTTCCCCCAGAGGTTTCCTTACCTTGCTTCAGCTGCTTAGCAGAAGCCACCAGTTTTAACTCTTCAATTTCTCTTCTAGCAGACTCTAAGTTAGAAGCATATAGAAGCATTTCATGTTTTAGCTGAGTATTGATGTGTAGCAGCAACTTCTCCAGTCCTTCAATTTTAGAAACTAAGTTCTGCAGTTCCAAGGCTCCTGCAATGGTGCCCAGATCACGTATCCTTGTTTCATTGCTCTTCTCCACCTGAGGATCAGTTAAAGGAATATCCTGAAGAAAGCAAGGTACACAATGAAATATTATTCAGTTATAACTTGTGCACAAAAATGGTAGTTAAAACTCTTGATAACTCTTTACAAAAAGCTAAGAATTCACCAATTTGGGACTTTTAAGGGGTGAGTTCAGATTTAAACAGTTCAACAAGCAGAAAATAACAAATTTATCCACAGAAACATAAACTCAAAGTAGTAAGAATTTCGAGAACATTTTCATGTAAAGTTAATTTTCTTACTAAACTATGAGTTAGTTTCAGGCTAATGTTTTTAAGATAAATTTCATCATAGTAAGGAGACTAAATTTCTCTTTGAGGTTAAAATTTTCATTGCCAAAAAAAAAGGAGAAATGATTTAATTAACCATTAATGATATTCTTTAGTGATTAATTCTTAGTGGGAACTAATTTGTTTTAGATGAAATGTGGGGAACTGATTAGCATAGAAGACAAGTACTTCAAACAGGTTTCTGGTGTGCTTCCAAATTTGCAAAAAATCCTTAATTCAAGTTATCAAATACAAATTAAATATAAAAAATGAACTATTGCTGACTATTCAAAATTACAATAATTTCAAAATATTACCTGATCGTCGCAAAGGTAAGCTAGTTGTTGAGCTTGATTCTCCACTATAGCAATACCATCCTCCAGAAAAATAAATAGTGGCAAACATGAATTCCAAATGGCTTTAAGCTCTATATTCTCTTTCTCAAGATCATCAAGCTTCTTCTGCAACTTGAATGTATGTGCATTCCTCAGTGAAATCTCCTCGATGAGCATCTCTCTTTGTACCAAAGCACAAATCTCAAGTCCATCATATGCAAAGGCCCACTCAAACATCTTGTCTTCAAAAACTGCACCATTGATTGCAGAAACATGGATATTAATCAGTAAATTTGTAATTTCTCCCTCACATCTGTCAAGTTCACATTTTTTCTTCTGCAGCTCAGAAGACATAAATTGTTCCCTCTTCCAGTGCATTTCAATTTTACCATTCAATCTATTTAACTCCTCATGAAGCATTCTATTTTCTTCATGAGTAGTAATAATCTCCACATCTTTACAGGCATGACCTTCCAACAGGCCAGCAACTTTTTCCTCAAATTGCAATTTCAACATTTTGGCCTCATCCACCTTTTTATTTGCAGTGTCGAGTTTTGTACATAGTTTGGTAACCTCTTCTTGTGTGCACTGAAGTTTCTGGTATGCTTTCAAGAGCTCCATGTTTTTCTTCTTTAACAGATTCTCCCCATTTTCAAATTGAAGACTCAGTTCTTCAAAGAAATGTCTGGTTGTGAATAGATCAAATTCTAACATTGTTGTCCGACTTCTTAACTCTTCCGCCATGATAAGTAAGTCCTCCTTAATCCGCTTGTTTTCATTTTCTGCAACCTTCAAATTCTCTCCTCTTTCTCTGATCTCCCTCTCATGGTCATTCTTGACTGCAACAAGAGAACCAATTGCATCTTCAAGTTGCTTTAAAGACTGCAGGTTTTGTGCATTTGAACTACTAAAGAACAAGTAGAGGTGCTCCAATGCCACTGCCTCTTCAAGTAAAATGCTATTTTCCTCTTCCAAAGCACCCTTTTCCCCTCTCAAATTAGAGAAGTCATCTGACAAATCTGATAACAAACTACAAAGAGACTCCAGCTCAGCCTTTAATGATTCATTAGTTCGCTCTTTTTCTTTCACGTCTTGCCCTAGTTTTTCACATCTCTCAAAGAGTAGATCTTGGTCCCTCTGAAAAACAAGTAGTTGACCTTCCATTCTTCCAAGTTCCTGACCAAGATTAACTTTTTCCAGAGTATTTTGTTTTAGAAAGGTGTGGTAAACTGATAGTTCCATATGAAGAAGTTGATTTTCATCATTGGAATATGAAATGCAAGCAAGCATATTATTTATTTCTCCCAGAACGGTTTCCAGAAAAACATCTTCATTTCCATCTGTATTCAATAGCTTCTTGTTGATATCAAGTGATTCCAGTAAAAGATTAATCCCATCCATCAGCCTTGCATTATGACCCACTAGTAGATCATTTTCTTCCTTGAGGAGAAGTTTACTGCATTCAAGCTGTGAGACTAATTCACCTGCACATCTAGAAGCCTCAGTATGCCACTGACACTCATGCGAAAGAACGAAATTTTTCTCTTTCATTTCAGATAGGCACCTCTGCAAGATGAAAATTTCAAGAATGGAATTCATGTACTTCTGCTGTTGTTCCTCAAATTCCACATCTCTGGTCTGTGCTTTTTCTTGCATAAGATTGATTTGACTGTCTAAATCTACAAGCTGAATCTCACTTGACTGGATAAGAGATTCATGCTTCTGCTTTTCTGTTCTGAAGGAATGTTTCATGTCACAAAGGCATTGCTGCAAGACGAGAACCTCAACTATATAACTCATAAATTCCTGTTGAACCAGCTTTAGCTCTTCCTCCTTGAATCTTCCATCTTCTTTCAGGAGATGGATCTGGTTTTCTAGGAAGAGCAAGCAAATATTGCTTGATTGAAAAAGAAATTCATGCTCCTCCTCTTTTATTTTCAAAATATCTTTGAGCTCCATGATTTTGGTAACTGAAACTTCTTTCTCCTTCTCCAAAGTTAAGTGATCAACTTTCAGCATGGCATATTTGGTCTCTAAATTTGTCATACTATTATGAATACTTTCTACCTGAACTTCAAATGTTGAAGATCAGATATTATCAGCAAAATATAAATTCTAGACAAAAAAAACCAGCATATCAGGAAAACAGAACAGTTTACCTAGTTCAACAGTTTTTTAGTATTAAATGTTAAGCTTGGTGGAATCTGATTGTTTGATTATTGTACATCAGTTGTGTACAGCATCGCAGTGCTGTGCACTTGCATCTCGGCGTTGCATTCTTAGGTTGGAGTAGGGGTATAAGTGAGCCGAGCCGGCTCTCGACTAGATAACGAGCTCGCGAGTCCAGCTTATTAAAAGTCGAGCTCCAGCTTGAGCACGAGCTCGTATTTTAAACAAGCCCGAGTTCGAGCTTAATGAGACTCGGCTCGTTTAATCTGAAATTTTAAAAAAATACAAAAACTAGTATTATTTTAAAAAAATCTGCTGCTTCCGGCCAAAAATAATAAACAATATTAATTGCATTCAATGCCATTAATGAAAACTGCTGCTCCAGCAGTTTTTTTTTTTTTTTTGGGGAAAGCTAACAGCTGCTATTTTTTTAACTCATTAATTAGTTCTTTTAACTGAGTACTCCTCTCTTCTTACAATAAAAAATAATTAAATTCTTCATCTTCAACCCTCTTCTTCTTCTACAATGGTTAAGCTCGTCAATGGATACACAGTTCGGCTCCCAATCTTCTTCTCTGGCGACCAGACGTTCCAAATTCTCTAGTGAGGCAAGCTCAAGAGTCGAGCACGAACCCGAGGCCACTCATAAGAGCAAAGTTCGAGCTCACCATAGGAGCTCGTTTCGAGCTCGAGCTCATTCAGCTTTGATGGCTTATTAATGTGATTGTTTAGGCAGCTGATTATTTTTCTAATTAGGTGATTTGATTGAGGATTTGATTAGAAGCTTTTTCTTATTTTGTTCATCTTAAATCTATCAAATTGAGAGGCAATGGCTATTGTAAGAAAGAAGAGAGCTTATTGTAATCCCTATTTTCTCCAATATAATGAAATCATCATGTCCTCCACATGGAGTGTGGACATAGGCATCTTCATCAAACCACGTAAATCGTCGTGTTATTTGTGTTGGTTGAGTGATTTATGGTTTGATTTTTCATTATGTTTGCACAACAATTGATATCAAAACCAAATTTCGGCAATTTCTAGTGACGGCGTGAAGTGCAGAAAAATTTATTCTATGTTCATTCGGTTCGATCAGGCGAAGAAAAGGAGCGAGTCTCGCATACAGGCACGAGACGGTTCGCACATGTCTCATATACATGGGAGTTGGCGTGGTTCACGCAGTCGCAGTAGTATCGGGCCATGAAATGCATGTGTCACAAGCAGACGGGATTTCAATAAAGCCATTAATTAGTTCTTTTAAATGTGCACTCCTCTCTTCTCCAAATAAAAAAAAATAAATTCTTCATCTTCAACCCTCTTCTTCTTCTACAATGGTTAAGCTCATCAATGGATACACAGTTCGGCTCCCAATCTTCTTCTCTGGCGACCAGACGTTCCAAATTCTATGGTGAGCAAGCTCAAGAGTCGAGCACGAACCCGAGGCCACTCAAAAGAGCAGAGTTCGAGCTCACCATAGGAGCTCATTTCAAGCTCGAGCTCATTCAGCTTTGATGGCTTATTAAAGTAATTGTTTAGGGAGCTGATTATTTTCCTAATTAGGTTATTTGATTGAAGATTCGATTAGGAAGCTTTTTCTTATTTTGTTCATCTTAAATTTATCAAATTGAGAGGCAAGGGCTATTGTAAGAAAGAAGAGAGCTTATCGTAATCCCTATTTTCTCCAATATAATGAAATCATCATCTCCTCCCCGTGGAGTGTGGAAGTAGGCATCTTCATCAAACCACGTAAATCGTCATGTTCTTTGTGTTTGTTGAGTGATTTCTGGTTTGATTTTTCATTATGTTTGCACAACAATTGATATTAGAACAAAATTTCGGCAATTTCTAGTGACGGCGTGAAGAGCAGAAAAATTTCTTCTCTGTTTGTTCGGTTCGATCAGGCGAAGAAAAGGAGCGAGTCTCGCATACGGGCACGAGACGGTTCACACATGTCTCATATACATGGGAGTTGGCATGGTTCACGCAGTCGCAGGAGGATCGGGCCATGAATTGCACGTGTCACAAGCAGAAGGGATTTCAATCAAGCCAAGAGCATGATCGGTGGAGACAGTTTGAGGAACGTGCTTGAATCAGGAATCGAAGAAGTGCAAATCACGTGCGATTGCAGTGGATCACATGATAGGAGAGAGGAATTTTTTGTGCGACAAAAGAGGGCCACGCTTGGGTCGAGTGTGTGTGGATTGCAGAAGTTTGTGTTGAGGGGTGTATAACGCAGGATTTAACAAGGGTTGGGCCATTTGCTGCTCACGGGTCGGAGCTTGCAAAAGCATACTACACACAAGGAGTCATGTGTGAGTCTGTTCACACAGAAGCATGTAAGACCGGGTTGTTCGTGTGGAGTAGAACTGCATGTGAAGGAGATTTTGTGCGGGTTATAGGTGAACAGAGTCAGATCTCATGACATAAAGGCACATAGGCCGAGTCAAGCTTGCATGGAGCACGAAAGTACAAAGTCAGAAGTGCGGATTAGCACAGGAACAGCAACGTTCGTCTATTTGGTTATGTGAAACCGAGCAGAATCAAGCCAAATTTAGACGATTGTCTATTTTATTTTGCAGCAAGGCTACTGATTTATGTTATGGATTGTTGCAATTCTGGTGTCGTAAGGAAGCAACAATTTGGTGGAGGCTATGTGATTCGGTAGAGCCATGGATACATCCACCTATACAGAGAAGGCGCTAATCCATCAAGCGGTTACACATCCTGCCAAAATTGATGTGACAAAGTTTGACGATAATGGGAACTTTGACATGTGGTGATGTGAGGTGATGAATGCGTTGTGCTCTTTGAATCTGAAGGAAGTTCTGAATAGCGAGGAACATCCTGAAGAAATTTGAGAGAGAGATTGGTTGAAGATAAATCAGATTTCTTGTGGCTTGATCAGAAATTATCTATCTCAGGAGATCAAGTATGGGGTGATGATGGAAACTTCTGCTATAAAGTTGTGAAATTTTTTGGAGAATAAGTACCTAACGAAAAGCGTGGAGAATCGTCGACATATAAAACGCCGCCCTACAAGTTTCAGATGATACATGGGGTTATATTTGATGAGCATATGAATGACTTCACAAAGCTATTGGCAGAACTTTTAAATTTGGATGCAGATGTTGGAGATGAAGACAAGGCATTTTCTATTAAATTCGCTCCCAGATAAATACAAAAACTTCACAATTACACTCATTCATGAGAAGGAAGTCTTGAATTATGATAAGGTGTCTACTACGTTGTTGAATTACGAGTTACAACATCGGGACAAGGAATCTGCAAGGATTGATTTAGCTGAGGCTCTCACACTCCAATGTGAAAGATCTAAAAAGCAGAAGAATAAAAAGGGCGGCAACAGCAAGCAAGATAAGTCTCGTGGGCGTAATCTTGAGAAGAATCAGTGTGCTTTATGTTTAGAGACTGATCACTGGAAGAAGGATTGTTTGAAGCTGAAGGAGAAGGGAAAAGGAGTTTCCATAAAGGCAAAGACAACCTTAGCGTGGAAGAGCGTGATGAAGACTCAAATATATTATTATCTGCAGTTTCTCAGAGTTTGTATATAAATGATTCATATTGGATTCTAGACACTAATGCTACCTATCACATTTGTCCCAATAGAGATTGGTTTTGTATCTAAGGAGCTTGATAGTGGTGCAATGACCACGAGAAATGATCAAGCCTTGTTGGTTCAAGAAAAATGACGCATCGGCATGAATCCTGCTTTACAGACATAGGATTCCCCTCAAGTCAGATTGTAATTAAGCAGATTTCTCTTGAGGGTAGTGTCAGGGGTTAGTTGGATCTGGATCTTTACTTCCCATGAGCGCAAGCACTCATAATTAATTACTCCTCTTAACGTGTAAGAAAGAACTTTCAATTAAGAATGAATAATTTTTAGGTATTTTAGCCTCAGTTGTGGAGTAAAATAGAGGTAAACCTGATCAAGATCACATGGCTCCATCGTCACGGGTATAATGTAGGTTTCAGTCTACTAATACTCACAACTGTTAATCGTAGTGTTCGGGGAATCTGATTAGCCACCATGAGTTTCCTCCTCTCATAGATGCCGAGTAAACTGAAGTTGTTAGATATAGATTTTAGTTTTATTGGAGTTTTGGGGTTTACATCAATTATAATACCCAGAAGTTAGTTTAGTTTGGGATTTATAACTTTGTTTAGAAGTTATCCATATGTTTGAATTGAAGCGGGTTTTACAACTTCTCCTAGAAGTAGCCCGGGTGTTTGAATTTGAGTCAAGACTTATGGCTTTCAATTAAAGTAACCCGTAAAATGAGTTTTATGGTTCTATTAGAAGAAACCGATTGGTGGGCCTTATAACTTAGCCCTATAGGCTAAGTTACCCATTTGTTTTGTTTGTTGGGATAGGTCTTACAGCTTCCCTTTGGAAATTGCCTGTTGGTTTTATTTTAGAATGGGTTTTACTGCTTCCTTTTAGAAGTAGCTCAGTGGTTGGTCTTACAACCTAACCTTATAGGCTAAGATGACCATTAGTTTAAATTTTGTTGATAGGTCTTACAACTCCCTTAGATGTTGCCAGTAGGTTTAATTTAGAGTGGGAGTTACAGATCTACTTCGGAGTTTTTTTTTTTTTGCTTATCTTAGGAGTTTTTTTTTTTCTTTTATTTACATTTTTTTTCTTTTTTGATACGAATCTGCTGCGACATAGCATCGGATCTCTGTGGATCGTGACAGCAAAGGCCACTCAGCCACATACAATGCCCCAACGCGAATTTAAGTCATTTGCAAAGGGCTCTACATAGGAGTTGCCCATTAGCTTAAATTTGATTTAGGGTTTAATATTTCATTTAGAAATTTTTAAATAATAGGTTTTACGACTCCCATTTTGCTTGGTTATTTGGTTAGGACGGGTCTTACTGCTTTCCTTTAGAAGTAGCTCAATGGTGAGTCTTATAATACAGCCTTATAGGCTAAGCTGCCAATTTCATTTTTGTTGAGGGTTTGATAAGTAAAAATAATGTTATACTTTCTATGTTAATTTGTCAATGAAAAATGTTGTTTTAGTTGTATTTGTATAGAAAAATACATGAAATGGGAAAATTTTCAAGTACTGGTACAGTGCCACAGCGTCGAACACAATAGCATTGCCGATGCGCAACAAATGAAATTCAACGTGGGTTAAATAATGTCACCGGATCTGCAACATTCGTACATGCAAACAGAAGCGTTCATGGGACCCTTAAGGAAGCTCGTGCATCTTTCAAATGATCACTACATGCCAACAATAATTTAGTATTGCACGACAACCTGCCTGCAATAAACAATCCTCAATACATATTGCAATGTCAAGCCACCGAATCCGCAACATTGATACAAGCAAACAAAATCCTGCGCACTCATCAGCAATAGTCACTTGCATAACTGATCATGTCTGAATGTTGCAAAACACCTCATGCATCAAAATGTGCACTGATACATTTATAACATGCATACATTACACCATGCAAAATGCATCATGTAAAGTAAGCACACTATATAACATGCAAAATATATTATGCAAGCACACTATCCAACGTGCAAAATGTATTATGCAATAACAACGCGCTACAGTGTCATGCACAACCTGCAAGCACTGAATCATCATGCTAATGCATTATGCAAGCAAACAGGCAATGCATGTATATATCATACACACATCATACAAATAAGCCATACGGTATTTTAGACCACAAAGTTACATTTCAGCACATCAAACAAGATGCAAATATAGATGCCAACATACATGCATACATGTAAATGCACAAGTATATACATGAGTATTTTAACATGCAAATATGTCTTATACACCCTCTACATAGCATACATACAACTACTATACAAATGCATCATATAAAAAACATGCAAAGACATATACCCTTATGGGCCCCAACGAGCGTGATGTATGCACACACATGACATCTGAGGAAGCTATGCAAGTCAAAAAATGAACTTAAGTTCTAGCTCGATCTTTCTACATGAATAGATAGGAGTCGACACTGCTCGAACCGTCAAACAAATACACAGTTGTAACGCCGACCATGAAATTTATTTTATACGTTCATATAAGCCTTAGCTTTTAGTGATTTATATAATATATTAAATACTAAATAGTGAGAAAGATATATGTATAAGTTAGCCAAATAGTAAGAATTTAGTTCAAGTGAAGTGTATTAAGGATGAAGATCAAAAAATATTTTTCTTAAAAGATGATATTCAACAAAGGTGGATGAGATATTTTGCAGAACTTTTTAATGAAGATTGTGAAAATAAGATTGATTGTAGTGACCTTAGCACCATAAATGAAAATAAAGATATCTATTTTTATGGGCGTATTTGTAAAATCAAAGTTAGAGAGACTTTAAAGAAAATGAAGTATGAAAAAGCTGTTGGACCTGATGATATTCCAATAGTGGTGTGGAAATGCTTAGGAGATGAAGGAATTTCTTGGCTTACTAAACTTTTAATACTATTTTAAAGACTAAAAAGATGTCAGATAAGTGGATAATGAGTGTGTTAATTCCTATTTTTAAAAATAAAGGTGATCCACAAGATTGTGCGAATTATAGAGAAATTAAGCTAATGTGTCATACTTTAAAACTATGGGTGCAAGTTATGGAGCATAGGTTGCGGAGTGATACTAATGTTTCTCAAAATCAATTTGGATTCATGCCGGGTAGGTCGACTATGGAAGCCATACATTTATTAAGAGGTTTCATGGAGAAATATAGAAAAAATAAGGAGGATCTTCATATGATATTTATTGATTTAGAAAAGGCATATGATAAAGTTCCAATAGAAGTGCTATGGAGAGTTCTTGAAAATCAAGGAGTTAATAATGCTTATATTCAAATCATTAAAGATATGTATGCATGAGCTATTACTTGTGTTCAAACACAAGGTGGTTTGACCAAGTATTTCCCTATTTCGGTTGGGTTACATCAAGGATCAGCCTTAAGCCCATAACTTTTTGCTTTAGTCATGGATGTTCTCACTAGACATTTGCAAGAGGATGTACCTTGGTGTATGCTTTTTGCTGATGATATTCTTCTTGTTGATAAGACTAGAGAGGGAGTTGAAGGTAAACTTGAATTATGGAGGTCAGCCATAGAGTCTAAAGATTTTCTCTTGAGTGGATCTAAAACGGAATATATGGAGTGTAATTTTAGCAGTAATAGACCTAGTGATGGGATTGTGACTTTGGGCGATCAAGTCATTAATAAGAGTACACGTTTTAGATATCTTGAATCTATTGTTCAGAGTGATGGTGAAATAGAAGGGGATATTATCAGCAAAATTCAAGTTGGATAGTTGAGGTGGAGGAATGTATCGAGCTTGTTGTGTGATTGAAAAGTACCCCTCAAACTTAAGGAAAAATTCTATAAGGTGGTGGTGAGGCCTGCAATGCTTTATGGTGTCGAATATTGGCCATTAAAAGAGAAGTATAATTCTAAGTTAAGTGTGGCACATATGAGGATGCTTAGGTGGATGAGTGGCTTTACCCTTAGAGATAGGATAATGAGCATATACGTGAAAAGGTTGGTTATATAAAACGACGATCTTCCGATGTCCCGGTTATGAGAGTAGAGGTATTAGATTTAACTTATGTTAAGAAAGGTAGAGGCCGAATTATTTAATATCATGAAAATAAATTAGGAATAGAACATGCCCTGCATGAAAAAAAAATCCAAATTATATGAGTGGACAAACGATCCAAATATGAGTTGTTTAACAAGCAGAATAAACGTTGATCACAAATATCAAGTTAGATGGACATTACTAATTACAAGAAATATTTATGTGCTGAAATTGATTTACTAAAGTTTTGGTGGTTGTTGGTAAAGGGGAAAATATAATAAACTATGGACTGTAAACATAAGTGCTTGAGAGGAAGTGTGACAAATATAGAAATAAAATTCAGACATGGTGTTACAAAATTTCAGTCAATGATACCATAGTCTAAATCAACCAAATTTCAAAAAGAACAAAATTGCACCAAAATGTTACCTCAGAGATTAGGGCATTCTTTTGGAGAAGAAGACTTGAATTCTGATCAGAGAGAAACTGGATGGATTCTACAAGCTCTTTTAATTTTAATCGTAAAACTTCAAGTTCGGTGTTTGCATCAGTTAGAGAGTTCTCCAAGAGGTTATTCTTCACTGAAAGCTTCTCCATATTCTCAGAGATAACCGTTATCTGAGAGAATAGGGCAGCTTTTTCACCAATATGGGTGGAATCTTTAGTATTGAGAGACTCACAAGATTCTTCTAGAACTCTAATCTTCTCCATTGCATCGGATAAGGTGCTTTCCAAAACTGCATTCCTCTCTGAAATTATCTCCATATCCTGCAATTTATTGAAAAGCATAAGTTTTTCATCCTCAAGCTTCCTGCAACCTTCGTTCAGTTCAGCACAACCATATTGCAGCTCCTTGATCAATATTTCAAGGGATTCCATATTTAGACTGGCTACTTCCATTTGCTCAATTAGGCCTTTATGTTTTAGTTCCAACTCATCTCTATAATCTTTAACAGAGTCGAGTTCTTGCTGACGAAGTTTACTGTCCTCTAAATAGATGTTGATCTCATCTTCAAGTTTACCATTAATTTCTTTCAAAGAAACTATCTCATCTTGAAGAATTTTCAGCTTTGAATCATACGCAAGAATGTGTTCATTAAGGTTATAGTTTACATCTACAAATTGACGCAATTCTTCCTCTAAGCCCATTTTACTGCGTTCAATGTCCTTCAGCTTCTCAAAATGAGTTTGGATTTCCAGCGTCATATGCTCAACCTTCTCCTGTGACATGTTATATAGTCTCTCCCAGGATTGAAGAGATCTTTCAGCCTCCACGCGCTGCTTGTCACTCTCTTGTAAGGAAATTCTGAGGTCTTCAAACATTGTTTTTCTTTCTTCAATTTCTGATTTTAGATTCTGACTTGCATTTTCAAATGTAAAATGTTGCTCCTCTGCACTACACAACTTAACAATGCCCATCAAAACTTCCTCATGGAGTTTCCTGATTTCCTCTTTTGCTCTAAGGACTTCACTCTCCAAGCTAGTTATACTCTCCAGGAAAAGCCGGTTCTTGAAAACTGCATTTTCCTTCTCACGCTCTAAAATGGACACTGCATTTGTCAAATTTTGAACCTCAGTTCTGTAAGCATCCAAATGCTTGGCCTTTGATACTATCTGACTCTTCATATTTTGGTTCTCAATTAATAGCTGTGAAACTTCTCCTTGAAGACATTCTATTTTATTTTTAATGTTCTCTTTCTCCTTAACCTCTTGCTCCAAAAGATTTTGGCTCTCAACTGATAACTTTTGGATTTCTTCCAGCACTCTTTTCCTATCATCAAGTTCCAACTTTAGTACCTGATCTTCCTTCGCCAATGCAAGAAATTGCTCTTCAGCAGTACACAGCTTAATAACTCCCATCACAATTTCCGCATGAAGCTTCCCAATTTCATCTTTTGCTTGAAAAATTTCTGCCTCCAAACTACATATCCTTTTCTGGGATAGCTGTTTCATCAGTACAGTAGTCTCCTTATCAGACTCTAATTTTGACATAGTATCTCTCATGCTTTGAATTTCAGCTCTGGATAATTGCAAATGCTTGGTTTCAGACAGTACCTGGATCTTAAGACTCTCGTTCTCATTTGATACTAGCGAAAGCTGTTCATGAAAACGTTTTGTTTCAATTTTAGCATTATCTTTCTCCTTAACTGCTTGCTCCAAAAGATCCTGATTCTCCACTGATAGTGCTCTGATTTCATCTAAAACTTTTTTACTTTGTTCAAGTTCTAACTTTAGACTCTGATTTGCCTTATTTAATGAAAAACATTGCTCTTCTGCAAAACAAAACTTTATAATTCCCATCATGATTTCCTCATGGAGCTTCCCAAATTCATATTTTGCATTACATATTTCAGTTTCCATGCTAGATGTTCTTTCATTTGATAGCTGATCCCGCAAAAAAGCAGCTTCCTTCTCAGACTGTAATTTGATAATTGCATCTCTCAAGTTTTGAACTTCACGTCTAGATGAATCTAAATTCAGTGATTCTAACTCTATCTGGGTTTTAAGTTTTTGGTTCTCAATCAACAGCTGGGAAACTTCTTCTTGAAGACATTTTATTTCATTTGTAACATTTTCTTTCTCCTTGACTTCTTGCTCCGAAAGGGCTTCAGACTCATGAACTTCAGACTGGGAAACACTTTCCACTTCCTCTTGGAAATTAAGGCCTTTCCTTACCTTCCCTTCATGTAACTTCACACGGGATGCTATTTCCCGTGGAGCAAAGATCTCATTCAACTGCTTCAGTCCTTTTTTTGTTGAAAATGATTCATTTTCTTCAGGATATGCTGCATTCCTGTTAATAGCATGAAAATGTCCTGGACCAGCCAAAGTATCCTTCTGCAGATCATCAGGATCAAATAGTGAACTCAAAGGTGAAGGAATTTCTGGAGTGCATGGCCCAATCTCAGTGCCCGGTGAAGTGGTGGGAGATTCATCAGGCAATGCAAGTGGGATGTGATTCGGGAAAGCTTCAGCAATTGTCCGATGAGCATGGCGGAGTGCCCCTGTTGCATGATCATATCTTTCAGCCAAGGCACGGTACGCCCGGTAGAAATCCTCTACAAACTTCATAAGCTCAGGTCGTTTCTTGTAGTACATCTCGGCTCTCCTTGCGAAGGAGTCGGCATCTTCCTCTATGAGTTTGATCATTGCTTTTACTTTTAAGTCCATATCTGTCCAGGCATACTTAACAATTAGGCTAATCTTTATGCTAGATAAGTAAAATTAAAATTAAGATTAATTAACAGTTTGAAACTTTAATGAATTATAAATCAGAAATTTGTATATGTTTTACTTCTCAAATGTTAATGAATACAAACACAATGCACTGGTCAATAGTCAATACTATACAGCCTAAAATTGCATGTAACAGAGTTGCAGAAAATAAATGAGTGATAACTTGTTTAAGATTCTATTTTTCAAAACTTTTGGCGAAAACAAGTTCCTCTTTTTGAAGGTCTCAAAAAGCAAGAAATCTGAAAGTTGCTTCAATAAGTTCTAGCTCAAGGCCTGGCTAACTAATCTGTACTGAAGTATCCTAGTCATTATAATCACTAAAGAATTACATAATATTACTTGTAATTTTATTTTATCTTAAATAAAAGACAGATGTACAATGCAATAAGAATATGATTTTTAATCAAAATCAGTAACTGAATACAAGTCCAAGTGTGAGATGAATGCACTCTCAAACCATAAGATTCTTATCATAAATTTCAAGCTATATGGATAGCTTGTTGGATGAAAAGCATGCGCACTCCCTAAGGCATAATAAAAGAGCTAAAAATAAAGAGACAAGTAAAGAGATATACAAGAGGGGGACTTGATTGTCTTTCTTACTTCATTGCTCCCAGGATTTCCATACTCAAGCTTAGAATAGATAGAAAATTGAGGATGTTAAATTAATTTTAAGCGGTTTAGCGAGGATGCCAATCGTTTGAGATTTTGTAGGACTATTGATCATTTTGACAATTCCTTCTTCAATTTTCCATTATGGAATCTCAATCAATCTCTATATATTTGGTACTATCTGAAAAACCTAGAGCTATGATCCAACTGAATCTTCATCAAAGTATTACGATGAGTGAAGAAGAAGATCATAGAAAGCAAATAAACTCCAACGGTAACTTTTACTGTAGCAATACTAGTAGTTATATACACATGTTGATGATAAGGGAAAATGAGAAAAGACTAGTTTTCCCTTGACAGTTACATAAGGTTGAGTGTTGCCAGTGGTCGTTCGGCGGGATCAGCTGCAGTAGCAGGGGTTCGTTGTTGCTCAGAGGAAATGGATGCAGTAGTGGTTCGTTCTTCCTTTACACCTTCCCTCAAGGCAATGGGTGGAACAATCATTAACTTGCTGCGAAGAAGCTGAAATTTAGATACATGGAGTGCCTTAGTAAACAAATCCGCAGGTTGGTCGTCAGTTGCAATGTGGTGAATAGCGATGTGTTTGGCTTGAATGCTGTCGCGAACAAAATGATGGTCGATCTCAATATGTTTAGTGCGAGCATGAAAGATTGGGTTGGTAGCAATGGACATTGCTGAAATATTGTCGCAGTAGAGGGAGGTTTACGGCAGGGAAATGTTAAAGTCACTGCATAAGCGGCGGATCCAGATTATATCAGCAGCGGCTGCAGCAAGAGAACGATATTCGGCCTCCGTTGAAGATCGGGCGACAGTAGTTTGTTTCTTCACTGTCCAAGATATAAGTGCCCGGCCGAGGAAGATGCAGTATCCTGTGGTAGATTTGCGATCAACGGTATCACCGGCCCAGTCAGAATCGAAGAAGGCAGTTAAGACAAGGTCTGTTTTCGGAAGGAACAGACTGTAGTCTAAAGTGCCTTGCAGGTAACAGAGAACTCGTTTGAGCAGCTGGTAATGGAGAAGAAGGGGTTGATGCATATGTTGGCAGAGTTTGTTGACGGCGAAAGCAATGTCGGGTCTAATGGCGGACAGATATTGAAGGGATCCCACAAGCTGGCGGAACAGAGCTGGTTGGCTAAATGGTTGCTGTAAAGCTGGATTGGAGGGAATTTTGCTGGGTAGAGGAGTTTGAATCGGTTTACAATTTGACATGGAAGCCGAAGATAGTAGCTCGTGAATGTAAGAAGGTTGTGTGAGATGAAGGCCTAGAGGTGTTCGGTGGAAGTTGATGCCGAGAAAACAGGACAAGGTACCTAATTTTCGGGTTTGAAATTTGTGGTGTAGATTGGTGATAAGAGACGAAATAAAAGAAGAATCGTTGCCGGTGATCAATATATCATCGACATAAATTAAGATGTAGATTTGAAGATTATGTTTGCAAAGTAAAAGAAAGGAGGGGTCGGCGGTGCTGACTTGAAAGTTTTGAGTGAGAAAGTAAGTGGTAAGTGTGGCAAACCAAAGGCGAGGGGATTGTTTAAGACCATATAAGGTCTTATGAAGACGGCTGATGTGAGTTGGAAGATGGGGATCTTGGAATCCAGGGGGTTGAGACATGTAGATTGTCTCATCTAAATTGCCATAAAGAAATGCATTTACAACATCGAGTTGAAGAACAGGCCAATTGTGATGAAGAGCGACAGTGAGGAAGATACGAATAGTGGGGAATTTGACAACGGGACTAAATGTTTCATTATAATCAATGCCATACTCTTGTTGAAATCCTTGAGCGACTAAGCGAGCTTTGTAACGGGCTACAGAACCGTCGGCGAGGCGTTTAATTTTATAGATCCACTTGCAGCCGATGACGGGATGATTAGAAGGAGGTGGGACAAGAGACCAAGTGCATTGAGCTTGAAGCGCATTGAACTCGATTGACATAGCTTGTCGCCAATGAGATGATTTGGAGGCTGTAGTGTAGCAGGTGGGAACGGTGTCGGTTTGGTGGCCGAGATTGAGGATCTGGCGAGGCTTAAGTGAGCCCGTTTGAAGTATGGTGATCATGGGATGTCGAGGTGGGATGGAAGAGGAGGTAGAGGTAGGAATGTCAGATGATGAAGCTGAGGTTGATGAGATTTGAGCTGGGGTTGGTACATGTTGAAGCTGAGAAGTGTGAGATGAATGTGGAGTGGTGGTCAGTGGAGGTATAGAGATTGCTTCTGTGGAGGAGTTAGGATTGATATTTACTGGTGGAAATGGTGGAGTAAGAGAGGAATTTGAAGAGGTTGTATGTGAAGGCGAAGATGGCAGTGAGGGAAAGATATTCTCGTCAAAAGTAACATGACGCAATATGATTATCTTTCCAAAGGTTGGGTTATAGCATTTGTAACCTTTATATTGAGTGGCGTAGCCGAGGAAGATACAAGGAACAGAACGTGCTGCGAGCTTGTGTTTAGCATATGGGCGTAGCCAAGGGTAACAACGGCAGCTGAAAATGCGTAAGTGTTGATAGACGGGCTGAAGTTTGTAGAGAAGTTCATAAGGAAATTTTTGAGGATTATTGGAAGAAGGTAGACGGTTGATTAAGTAGGTGGTTGTATGTAATGCTTCAGTCCAAAGAAAGGGAGGAAGTTGAGCATCGAGGAGGAGAGTACGAGCTGTTTCGAGGAGGTGGCGGTGCTTTCTTTCAGCGACACCATTTTGTTGTGGTGTATGGGGGCAGGTTAGTTGATGGGTAATACCAGCGTTGGAGAAGAAAGCTTTTAAGGTAGTATTGAGGAATTCGCCGCCTCCATCAGACCGTATGCTGCGAATGATTGTATTAAGTTGTTTTTCAATTTGATTAATGAAATGAATTAATGTGCGCGGGACATCGGATTTAAATTTTAAATCAAACAACCAATGAAATCTGGTGAAGTCATCAACAATTAAGAGGTAATATCTATACCCATCATAAGATAGAACCGGGGAAGGTCCCCAAACATCCATATGTAAGAGTTCTAAAGGTGCACTAGATACATGGTTTGAAAAAGAAAACGATTGCTTGTGGCTTTTTGCAAGCTCACAAGAATTACAAGAAGAGCTAAGAACAGAACGACATAACGGAGATAACTGTTTTGATAAGTATTGCAGAACTTTGAAGTGAGGATGACCCAACCGGCGATGCCAAGTGTTCACGGTGGAGGAAGATTGAACAGTGGCAACATTGGCGGTGACGGAAGTAGTGGTGGGGATGACCGGAACAGGATAGAGTCCAATACGACATGGACTTTTGAGAAGCGTTTTGTTGGTCTTCGGATCCTTTAAATGAAAGCCAAATTGATCAAAGGTGATAGAACAGTGGTTGTCATTGATAAGTTTGGAAATAGAAAGAAGACGGTGAGTTAGATTAGGAACATGAAGAAGCGGTTTAAGGAAGAGCTTACGTGTGGGAGTAGGGAGTAAGCCGTTACCGAGATGTTGAATAGGAACAGAATTGCCATTTCCAACCAGCACATGATCCTTACCAGTATATGGTTGCTGAAACGGTAGTAAATCTGGAGAAAGATGAGCGGTAGCACCACTGTCCAGGTACCACGAGGCGGTGTCCGCATTGGAGTTGTTAGCCAATAGAGCTGCGTCATTGGATAAGGTAGGGGAGTTGTACTGAAAATTTCCTCTGTGCCAGCAAGTAACATCCGAATGTCTAGTTTTACCACGGATTTGGCACTATCCATCGAAGCGGGGTGTTCGTGGGGATCGATTCAAACCGGAGTTACGACCACGCCCTCTGGAGGAATTGAAACGTCCTCGACCGCGTCCGCGATCTGTGAATAAAGCAAGTGTTGAATCGGAGGAGGCTAGCGTGGATGAGAACGACAGATCTTTCACGGCATCAGTCGTTTGGTGTACCTCTTCGCTGCGAAGCAGAGAATATAAGTTGTCCAAGCTGATTGGCTGAAGAGAGGATCAAATGAAGGTTTTAAATGACTGATGGTTGGGTGGTAAGTCATTTAATATATAATGTAGCACATCTTCATTATTAACAGAGCCGTCGGCAGCTTTGATGTTGTCCACGAGCACTTTAACATAGGCTAAATACTCTGTCATAGTTTTGATTTGCATAGAGAGTGAATGCAGCTCGTTTTTTAATTGGATCACTCAGGATCTATTGGTGGAATAAATCATTGTTCGAGTGTTTTCGAAATAGAGGCGGTGGTGTCTAAGTTTAGAACATATGAGAGTATGGAGGCTAAGATGGTTGAGAACAAAGCGACGGACAGATTTTGGTCGACCAGTGACCAAGAAGAGAACTGTTGGTTTAGGACGAGTTGTCCAGTGGCAGTTAATAAGTGTTTGGGAGGAGAATGTTGGGTGCCGTCGAGGTATCCTGAAAAACTGTTGGCAGCAAACAGTTTTTGAATAGCTGAGCGCCAAGTTGGATAATTATCCGGTAAAAGCTTAATGTTGATAACATTCTTGATATTAGAGAGCAAGAATTTGAAAGTTGGTGGAATGACGACCTCGGCATTCGACTGGTTTTCGTGAATGACAGCCGGAGGAGTAGGAGCAGAGGCCGCCGTCGAGTCACCCATATCGGAGTAAAACTGGGGGCGGCCAGGCGAGCGGCTCTGATACCATGAAAAACCTAGAGCTGAAATCCAACTGGATCTTCATCAAAGTATTACGGTGAGTGAAGAAGAAGGTCATAGAAAGCAAATGAACTCCAACGGTAACTTTTACTGTAGCAATACTAGTAGTTATATACACATGTTGATGATAAGGGAAAATGAGAAAAGACTAGTTTGCCCTTGACAGTTACATAAGGCTGAGTGTTGCCAGTGGCCGTTCGGCGGGATCAGCTGCAGTAACAGGGGTTTGTTGTTGCTCAGAGGAAATGGATGCAGTAGTGGTTCGTTCTTCCTTTACACTATCATTGTGGGTAGGATCCAGATCATTGGCTATGTTAATTGTGGTTGAACACCCTTTTTAGCATCTCCATTACTTGTCAAAGCATACCTCATAAATAGACTCATCTCCACTATTCCTCTCAAAGTATTTGGTTGTTCTAAATTTGTTAACATCACATTCATAAAAGGAGCAAACTCAAACCAAAAGCTATTAAATGTATCTTTATTTGTTATTCTCCTAGCCAGCAAGAGTAGGAATGTTACTATCCTAAGAAAGACAAAAACTACAATACTGTAGATGTATTTTTTTTTTTAAATCAACCATTCTTTCCCAAAACTAAAATTTAGTGAGAAAATTATTTATGCCACTCTTTCTAAGCCTACATCAAGCTTTGAACTCTCAAAAGCTCAGTACCCTAACTACACTAAAATATCAAGATCAAAATAAATAATCAAATATAAATGCATGATTTATACTAGACATCAGAAAAACTTAAGAAATAGTAAAGAATCCAAGCATTCCTCCACATCAAAATCACTCATTTGATCCAAGCTTTGATTATCCGTCATAAGTTAACACTGATTCTAATCTAAACATAGAGATTGCTCACAAAAAAGGTAAAAGGGCTACAAAACCTTGAATAAAATATAAAAAATGTGAGTGCATCTCTTATGACAACTTATCTTCTCGATTCCATATTTTTACAGCTAATCTTTGTAGTGTTGAAACAGCCAACATTCATGAAGCATTAAAAATGAGAGATGTTATCCATAAAGAAACACAAGCACTGGAAAACAATAACAATTAAAAACTTTCGATGCTACCAAAAAGAAAGTAACTTGTTAGGTTCAAGTGGATTTTTAATACAACATACAAAGCAGATAGAAGCAGTGAAAGATCTAAAATTACATTCGTTGCAAAAAGGTTTACTCAAAGTTATAGTATTGATTATCATGAAACTTTTACAACAATTGCTAAGATTAACTTTTTCACGGTTATTCTCTCTCATTGCTAATCTTAACTAGTCATTTCACCAACTAAACATCAAAAATGTTTTCCTGAATATGGACCTAAAAGAACAAGTATATAGGAATATTCCTCAGGAATTGGAGACTACTAGCCATAAAGGAGAAGTTTGCTAGATTGAGAATCCATATATGGTCTAAAGAAATCTCCAAGAGTATGGTTCAATAATTCATACAACAACAACATCAATCTTTTATGGCACTACGTGACGGCGGTGGTTCAATAAATTCAGAACTACATTTAAAAAGCATGGGTACTCTCAAAAATAAGTTGGTCACACACTGTTTGTCAAAAAATCACCACCAAGTCAAATCATAATCCTCATTGATAATATTATCTTAACTGGTAACAATGAAGAGAAATTTATGGATTAAAAGGGGTCTTAACAAAAAAATTTAAATTAAAGACCTTGAAGCCTTAAAATATTTCTTTGATACAAGTTCCAAAGAAAGGTAAATGCATCTCTCAACAAATGTATACTCTAGATCGCCTAGAAGAAATTCGTATGACAAAATGCAAGCCTGCTAAAAAAATTGGGACTAAAAATGATTCTCCGCAAGTACAACAACAACAACAACAACATCAAGCCTTTATCCCACTACGTGGGGTCGGCTACATGAATCCTTTTTCTCCATTGTGTCCTATTAAAAGCCAAATTCTCGTTTAAATCTAATAAAGAAAGGTCATTCCTAATATTTCCTAACCAAGTCTTTTTAGGTCTACCCCTACCTTTCTTAACACAAGTCAAATCTAATACCTCTACTCTCCTAACCAGGTCATCGCAAGGCCGCCGTTTTATGTGACCAAACCATCTAAGGCGACTCTTTATAATCTTTTCTTCTACTGGAGATACTCCAACATTTTCACGTATATGCTTATTTCGTATCCTATCTCTAAGGGTAAAGACACTCATCCACCTGAGCATCCTCATCTCTACCACACTTAACTTAGTATTATGCTTCTCTTTTAATGGCCAACATTCGGCACCATAAAGCATTGCAGGCCTCACTACCATCTTATAGAATTTTCCCTTAAGTTTGAGGGGTACATTTCTATCACATAACAAGCCCGATGCATTCCGCCACTTCAACCATCCAACTTGAATTCTGCTGATAATATCCCCATCTATTTCACCATCACTCTGAACAACAGATCCAAGATATCAAAACGTGTACTCTTATTAATGACTTGATCGCCCAAAGTCACAATCCCCTCACTAGGACTATTACTGCTAAAATTACACTCCATATATTCCGTTTTAGATCTACTCAAGCGAAAACCTTTAGACTCTAAGGTTGACCTCCATAATTCAAGTTTACCTTCAATTCCCTCTCTAGTCTTATCAACAAGAAGAAATTCTCCGCAAGTGAACCAAAAAAAAAGATATAAATGACTAGATGGAAAAACCATCTACCTTTCCCATGATACTAGCATCAACTTTCTAATTCATTTTAAAGGAATTTGTAAAATCAGTTTGGTTGAATGTTTATAAAGCACAACAATTTAAGAAGTTTTGATATCAAATGGATCCAAAATGAATGTTAATAGTTTATATCAAGTTGATTACAAAATAAATGAGAGGAAATTTGAAGCAACTCTGAATGTGTTACCGTTGCACATGAATTTGATGTGATTTTGAGAATGAATTGGCTATCAAATCACTTTGTGATCATGGACTGTAATAAGAAGATTGTTAAATTTAAAATTTCGGATGAAAAAGAATATAAATTTTATGAAAATAGAGGAATTACTTTAACAGTGATAAGTTATATGAAAGCTTGGAAATTTTGTAAAAGATATTAGGGTTTTATTTCTCAAGTAAGGGATACAAATAAAGAAGCTAAATAGTTGAAAGACATACTTGTAGTAAGAGAATATCTAGAGGTATTTCTAGAAGACCTGCCAAGATTACCACCAGAAAGAGAGATAGAATTCACTATTGATCCATTACCAAGTTCAGAACCAGTAGCAAAAATATCTTACAGAATAGTAGTTAAGGAATTGCAAGAGTTAAAAAAGTCAATTACAGTAATTATTAGTTAAAGGATTCATCAAGCCAAATTCCTTGGCTTAGAGAGCTCCATCATTGTTTGTAAAAAGGAAGAATAGAAGTTTCAAAATGTGTATTGATTATAGATAATTAAATAAGCTCACAGTTAAAAATAAGTACTCATTGCCTAGAATCGATGACTTATTTAATCAACTTGAGGGAGCTGCAGTTTTCTCTAAGATTGATCTACGTTCTAAATATCATCAATTGCTCATTTAGGAAGAGGATATTATTAAAATTGTTTTCGGAACAACATATGGTTATTATGAATTTGTAGTGACGTCATTTGGGATGGCAATTACTCCAACAATATTTATGGATCTAATAAATTGAATTTTCAAATTCTTTCTGGATATATTTTTTATTATATTTATAGATGATATTTTGATTTATTCAAGAGATAAAGAAAGTTATTTCAGTCATATGCATGTAGTATTCAAACAATCACGAGAATAAGCTAAAAGCTAAATTCTCAAAATATGAATTTTGATTGAAAAGTGTTAATTTTCTTGGACAAGTGATTAGTAATGAAGGTATTTCAGTGGATCAAAATAAAATCAAAGCTATTGTTGAATGGTCAAGGCCAATTATAGTTTCAGAAATGAGAAGTTTTCTGAGTCTTGTTGGTTATTACATGAGATTTCTGGAGGGATTTTCTTAGATCGCAATGTCGTTATGAAGATTAACACAAAAGGCAGTAAATTTGAATGGAATAATCAGCATGAATAAGCTTTCTAGAAATTGAAGAATTGTTTAATGATTGTTCCAATATTAGTAATTCAATGGATTCCAAATTTTTTATAATACTTCATTTAAGGGATAAGGATATGTATTGATGCAACATAATAGAGTGGAGACAGTTTTTTTTTTTACTCTAATTTATTGCATTTTATATATAATTGTTGACCTCTTTATATGCTCCAAAATTAAATCCGAGCAAGTACGACAAAAAGGACAACCGACGAACACAATGTCGCATGTGATGAGCTCGAAACACATCCACGTTCACAAAATCACTCAAAACATCATATGTTCATGAAACGGAGTGTATCGTTGTGTCTAGAATATCAAATTTCTCCAAGGAAAACCGCTCGCATGTAACTCGAGTGAATGTGATCAAAATAACACCCAGCAAACGCGATGCTATGCAAAATTGGCAAACATCATGCAATCATGAATGGACCGTATCGTTGTGCTTGAAACTTTGAAATTACCAAGAGAGGACACCCATGTTTGATTAAAATGAAAACGACGGATTATGGGAACAATATTGTACGAGGTCGCCCGAATAACACCCATTAGCACAACGAACTTCTCCATTATATAAGGAACATTGAAATTACCGAGAGACCCATATTGCCTAGGTCGTCGCACGAGTCCAACTTTAAAAATCTACCTATGTGAAGCGATGGCGCACAAATTGAGATGCACAAAAGATGAGAAATTACAAATGAGGTCAATTCAATTTAATATTTTATATTATTTTAATAAAAAAACCAAACGAGTTATATATATATATATATATATATGGGGTCACTTCACATGAAAAATTATGCATGATGTCTATTCATTTCACTTTAATATTTTTATACTATTTTAATAAAAAAACAATTGAATTAATATATATATAATAATAAAATCTCTAATTCAATCATCTTATCTCTAGCCAATCTATCTTTCAAAAATTTATCCTAGAATTTAATTTTGTTAAAACTCTTCTCGAATCAGCACAAAGAAGCCGACACATCCAAAATTTTTGAATCCCACAAAACTCTAGTCATTCCACTGGGGAAGATTTTTCTTTCCATCTTATATGAGTTATAGCAACAACACATAATGAGATAAATATCAAAATATCATTCATAAAATAAATTCTAAATGAACTCATTAAAAAAATTCTCTAAGTAGGGTTTAAAAATTATATTAACCTACAATGTTTTATGATGTAGAATGTTTGTCATTAAGTGGGGAGGGGAGGCAGCTGAAATCGAACTGGACGGAGAACGACGCGCTGGAAGGTCCGGGGGCGAGCTGACAGTGATGGACAATATTAGAGAGTCACCTTACATGGTTTGGCCATATAAAACGCCAGCCTTTTGATGACCCGATTAGGAGAGTAGATATACTAGATGGCTTATGTTAGAAAGGTTGAGGTAAACCTGAAAAGATTTGGTCAGAAAATATTATAAATGACCTTTGATTATTAGATTTAAATGAGAATTTGACTCATTATAAGAGACAATGGAAAAAAAGATTCATATAGCTGACCCCACATAGTGGGATAAAGGCTTTATGTTGTTGTTGTTATATTTGCTTCTATTACTTTGTTCCATTCAGTCTTTACATTTTGAAAGTAAGGGATGATATATCAAATTCCATTTACTAGCATGTATCTTTCATTTGTGCAAAATAAATCTTTAAAACACCCCTTTTATAGTCCAACTAAGACATGGGGCCAACATTTAGTTAACCAATGTTGTCATCAATACCGTAGACTCTGGGCCACCATCCAATTTGATGGGCTATAATTTATTGTATCTACAATAAAGGCTGCCTCCATTCTTGTATACATCATGACTACTTAAAGGCTTGCCATAAGGCCTCTCTCAACGGAAGTTGTCGCATGACATGCGCATCTGCCAAGGTAGTAAGTGCCCGTTGCCATAACTATTATCATTGAAGAGGTCCACACAAGAGGAACTCAATTTTTGAAAGGCTACTGCAGCCAACCCTGGTTATGAAAAGGGTTGCTACCAAAAAGAAAATTTTCTTAGTACCAACAAATAATACTAGTCTGCCAATTGAATCATTTGTACCTGGAAGGAATGACATTAATGCTTTCTCATCTTGAGGGAAGTCATCTAGAAGACAAAGGAGAAAGATGAATAATAAATTGTGAGCTCAACAGTTACAACAGTGCACCACTCAAAACTGTTAGACCAAGAACTGGAAGCGAGTGTTCCTATCCAGAATAAGTTTATAAACCTTAAATGGACATAATAGCTCTATTAGTGAGTTGAAATAATCATTTTAGGCTCGACAACATGAAGCCCCAAGCCCTTAGAGAAAGGAACCCGAGACTTTGTCCACCAAAGTTTAGTCTTAAAAGTTGCAATGAGAAGGGGTTAATAAAAGAAAGTATTAAAAGCTACTTACAATGGGGGCAAAGAGGACCACGATGGTAAGTTACCATCTAGTGTGGTAGCAGAGAAAGAAAAGAAGCAAGGACAACATGGTGAACAATGGAGGATGACATTTGGATCATGTGTCCCAGAATTTGCCGCCAAAAAGTCTCAACAGAAGGAAAATAAGGTTTGAAGACTAAAATCTCTTGAAAGAAAACTTGTTGAGAAGAAGGTCATGACATCTGGTGTGTAGTCCTAAAGATCCACCTATAAAAAATTCATCGACAATAAGCGTCAAAGAAGAAGGTCCCTAATGACAACACCAATGATGGTAGACATCCTGGAGAGTCCTCTAGAGGATATCATCACCTTTCAACTCCACTCTCTCGAGAACAGACCAATTTGGACCTTTCCCCCGACCGAGGAGCTCTTCATACAGCATACATAATCAAAAGTATAGTGGAAACGCCGCTCTAAAATCCAGATACAATAAGAAGAGAATGAAGATGATAAAACCATGCAAGTCGGAGTACTCTACCTTGTGAAGTATAACGATGAACCAAACTCCATGCAAGTATACCGATGAAATCATGAACCAGGATCTACTGCAGTTGGAGCAGCAGCCCATCAAGAAGAACACGCACATTATAATAAACTATGTTGCACCGATACACTTATTTATGAAGGCGTACTGTATCCGATACACCGATACACGGATACGCCTCCAATACTCCACCGATACGTGTCGGATACACCAAAGACGTATCCAATTAAAATACTACTTAATTTCAAATGGACACGCGTATCCGATACACGTGTCCGTTGAAAAACAAACGTCGTATTTACTTCAGCGGCTGCGAGCAAAGCTCTCTCATTTCCGAGATGGATTTGAGTCTCTTGATGATATGAGAATATTAGAAATTACTAATCTTTCACTTGATGAGCCTGAATTAAAAGATATGATATTTATTGAAGATGATCTAGAAGTTCAAAGACAAACCACTGAAGAAGCTAATCATATCATTCCTTCTATTGAATAGTTGAAACTTTATGTGCTAGACAATTTATGTTTATGCTTTTGTTGTTGTACTAGACATTTAATGCTTACTTATATTTTGATATTATAAGCTACAAGGCTACAAATGATGTTGTTGTCATTTTTGTTTTGTAATTTCAAATATTATGCTTTGATTGTTTTCTTAATTTTTATGTATGATTTATAAATTATGACATCGTGTCCGCGCCGTACCCGTATCCTGTATTTTAAAGAATTGACGTGTCCCGTATCCGTATCGTGTCATTACGTGTCATGTCGTTCCGTGTCACCGTATCCGTATCGGTGCAACATAGATAATAAAGCTAAAGGCACAAGCTCATCCTTAGAGGATGAGTAAGAGGAACAGGAACAAGACATCTTGCTTATTGACACCATCATGTTGGCACAAGAACAAAGACATATAAAGTGCTAGATGAAGGAAAAGAATAAGGAGATCTCACAACTAAATTCCAAAATGATTGAAATGATGGTACAAATGACCGCGATAATACAATTGCTACAAAAGAGCAAAGCTGCTAATCTTGAACATATTTAGCTAACCAACCATCAGGTGTTGAGTAGTGCTACCGCTAATCCCTCGACTCACCAAATACCTTAGGTCTCTAGAGTACGGGGTGTGCATTAAAGGGGCACTAAAAATGATCGCTTAATTTGAGTGCCTACTTTCCAAAATATTACATGCACATCAGAATCTATAATAGAAGCATAGTTGGATATAATTATCAATAAGAGAAGATTAAGGATGTCATAGTCTTAAATAAGTAGAAAAGTTGATACAATCAGGTGTCGTATCCTAAGGGTTATTAGGTGCCCAAATTTAATATTTTCAATGGTGATGACAAGTCGAAGCAACATCTTGCCCAGATTAGAGTGACTTGTAGCAATACTTAGGGTATCAATGCACTATATTGTTACCAATTCAGTAGCAATTTAACATCAAACACATTCAAATGGTACATCGAACTGCTGAATGACTCAATAAAGAGCTTCGCTAAGCTCGAAGGTATGTTTATAAAAAAATTTATCAACGCTATGAAAAAGAAAATCATCACTGGCCTTACCTTGAAGGAAAAGAAGATATAAGTCATTCACAAAATACATCACTCACTAGTGAAATATGAGTATGAAATATGAACAAAAATGGAAAGAGGAGCATGCAATCCAATTACTGATAGGTAATATTGATGATAAGATTGCACCTTGTCATGACAAGGCATCTATCACAATATTTCATAACCCATTAGATCAAGTGGTGAAATTTGAAAAGTTAAATCTTTCAAAGTTTATAGGACACTCTGATAAATTAAGAAAAAAAAGCTCTAAAACTTGATGAGGTGAAGCATGTGTAGCTACTTTCAGTAACAACAACAAAAAGTGGACAGCCTATATCATAGACAACAGAAAGGGGCCCGTTTATGGTGAAAAAAAGGTAGCAGTCCTTTAACCCTAATCCTCAACCAAAATTGGTGCTCAAAGAAAACGACAAACCTCAAACTTTCCTTAGTGTAGGGGAGCACCTAAAGCAAGGCAGCAAGCAATGGGATTAGGGGCTCCAAATGGCCTATATATGAGGGAAAAGCTGAGCAAAGAGTATTCCTTCAAAAGAGAGAGTGTGGAAATATTATCCAGAATGCACTAAAAGCGATTCTTAAATTGCCAGAATGCAAAAAGCATGAGGAGGCTAGTCTTACCAACAATCCTAATTATTGCCCATATTATAAGATAATTAGTCATCCTATTGAAGAATGAAGACTGCTATATGTTAAGAGATTGGATATGGAACATAAATACAAAGAAGGCAAATTTACGCTATCAAATAGTATTCTAGTTCAACCCCAAAAAAAAGTTAACAAGGGTGATAACATCCTCTTCAGTACCCCCAAATAAAAGAAGAACTAATTCAAGATGAAAATTGAAAGACAATGGTCTCAAAGAAGATAACAAAAATGCTAATGCAACTTGAAGAAGTTCCTGACACTAAGTGGAAATCTCCTACTAAACTAGTACTCAAAGTGAAAAAGAAATCGAGTGCAAAGACATCCATTCCCAAGCTTCCAATCAAAAGATATTCAGGTCAAGCTAACTTGTCATGATCTAACCAAACTCCATCGAAAGAACCAAATAAGAAAAACAAACAAAGAAAGTCAAAAAAGAAGACGACTACAACATAAAGGGTTATAAATAACTTGGAGAACTATCATCAGCGTGCAAGCCAACCTATCAAGCTAGCTGGCTTCATAACTAGACTCCAGATTATTAATGCAAAAGAAGATGAAGGGGATGAGCTTGAAAAATCCCTTCAAATTGACACATGCCGAGTCATCTCGATGACATTGAAATCCTATCAACGAACTTACTACCAAAATTATAACATGAGTCGAGAAATGATGACTCCAATAAATGCAAGGTGCAAAAAAAAAGTTAAAAGATTTGTCTATGGAAGTGACTTAGAATCCACGGTGTCATCACGGATGCAATGCTAGAAGTTAGAAAGTGATTCTGAATATTATGATTAATCTCCTGGAAAAAAGGAAGACTCTCATGAAGTCGCTTCATCAAAAGAATATGATGTAAATAAAGTGATCCAAGTTCAATTGAGTGGTAAGGTACTACCGCCTTTCTCAAAGAAAAGTTCATCAAATAAAGATAATTAGAAAGATATCATAATCAATGAAGACCTATTATTTATACATACAATTTATCAAAAGAAGACATTTCCTAAGTTTTCTCATAAAAGAAATGACAATCCACCTTGTGCGAAATGATGACAAAATTCGACTGCAAGAACAATATAAATTTTATGAGGCGAGTCTATATATATATAAATATAATCAGGTAAAGATAAATGACTCATGAATCATATATGAACATATATGAGTATACCAGATGTTGTGCCATATCGATGTAACCATAGAGGTGCATTGCATACACCCAAAGAAAATTAATACTTTTTCAAAAACTATATATAGAACGATATATATATATATATATATATATATATATATATTTTAATCATGTAAAGATAAATGACTGATGAATCATATATACAAATATATGAGTATACCAGATTTGGTGTCACATTGATGTTAGCATATAGGTTCATTGCATACAGTTTACTTACAAATGATGATGAACATTATCATGTAGAAAATAATCTTAAAATAGGTGAAACTTCTCATTTATATAATGTAATATGATTTTAACATGCTACTTGATTACACTACAATTATATCATTACTCATGCTTTTTTTTACTATTCATGTTGCATGCTCCATTACTATGTCTTTTATGATTTAATATATAAGAGTTACTTGCTGAGTTTTAATTATCAAACTCGCCCATTGTAAATTTTTTTCACAATAAGTTTTACCGAGGTACTTAGTAGAGCAGATTTTTCAGCAATAGGATTTCATTCGACATTCAGTTCTAGTTATATTGATGCTGGGTTTGGGTAACTTTGCTTATGTACTTGCTTCTTTCAACTTCTTTTCTTTAAGTGGTTATTTTTGCTTCATTGATGTGTCATTGTAAAGAACTTTATTAATAATATGATATAACATTAACTTGTCTTTGCTTATTTTTTCTATTTAAATTACTTGTCTATAAACTTTTCTTATGTGGGTACATTACTAGTTTTCATGCCCCCTAATATGGTCCCATGCTGGTGGGGCATACCGCCTTAGAGGTCAAGGGTGTGACTAAATGACTACTGAGAAGAGCTAATAGTAAATAAGTTGAACTAATAATCAGAATTCATTTACTAATACTTATCATAGCATACAAGACAAACGTAGAAGCTACAAATATAAGTTCCTGAAGTCATAAATAACTACTAGGAATTTCATAGATCATTAGCACTTTAAATATAAGATCATCGTCCTGGAATCATTCAAATTCTTCATTGCGAGGACAAGCATTACACAGAAAACTTGCTAAAATATGTCAAAAAGGATATGGTTAAAGTACAGTTAGCATCAAGTGCAGCTCTAAACAAGAATGAATGGTGAGAAAAAATAAATAAAACCAGCCCCTCAAAAGATAGCTTCAGGATGATGATGATGAGGATGAACAAATAATCAATAGTGCAAACCCTCTACATGTTATGATGAATTATAGATGATTGACAGGCATACCTGTAAGGTTCTCCTGAAGCCATTTTGAATTCTTAGGACTGCTGTGTCTGTCCCACCACCATGAATATGATCTCCTTGACTCCGCATGCATAAATGCCGACATGGTTGCAAACTGGAAAGATTGATCCTGTTACCAACAAAAGCTGAACAACAGTCCAGACAAGCGTCAAAGAGATTCACCAAAACACATCAAAAACAAAACAAATTGGAACTTCTCTTAACCCGAAACATTGCATCGGTGTGACAATCAGAATGACTTTTTTTTCTTTTTAATAAGAATTTCAATGAAAAGGAATCAGTGAAATGCAACACCAAAAAGATGCATGGAATAGACCTTATCAATAAAATTTGAAAAACAAGTTTAGTGATATTCCTACCTTTAATCAAAATATGCAAGAAGACAACTTAGGCTTCGTTTGGAACGGCTTTATTTCTGCTTCTTAAAGCAGCTTTTTTGTACTTCTTTAAGAAGAAGAAAGAAAGTCGTCCCAAACGAAGCCTTAAACTCAATTTCCAACTTCTTTTCCATAGTAGACTAACAATTAGCTTTGAGAGCAACATGTACCATAACTGAAAATTTCTTCATCGTTTTCCATCAGCAATATAACGCAAGCAAAAAAAAATAAGAAAAGTGAAATCTGCACAGAAGAGTAGCTTTACAGACAAGAGCACTAAATTTCTGTAGGCAAGAAAAATAACCTTAGCCTTTAGTGCTCACCCAGTGCTGGAAGTCAGAAAACATATTTTAAGTGATGACAAAATTTGTTAGATCCATCATTTATTTAGATGTGGTTATGAACTAAAATTGGTTTTAAAATTAATAAATCCCCTCAAATATTACGATTTCTTTTTCAAACACGTTGAATAAAATAGAAATTATCATTTTCTAAACTATATGTTCTATCTACGAGCAACCAAATGAATCCATAGTTGGTTTAAGTTCAAAAGATGTGAAGACATTCAAAAACCAAATCTTTGTTTGGAGCAAAACTTTCAGAAACCAGACATAACAAAACCAAAAAAAAAGAGATATGCATTTTAAAGAAAGTAAAGAACTGAGTAGAACTTCCAAGTCCTCTCCAAACAGATAACTCATCCATTCATTTCTCATAAGCAAGAGTAATAAGCACTTAAGGGAAGAAAAAATAATCAAATAAGAGAGGGCATTACAACTCTGAATCACAGCGTAAGATCTCATAAAACCTTGTTGGTTTTCCATTTAAACCATTTAAATTAGCTCAAATTTGAGAATGGAATGAAGTAAAAAGAAGATCACCGGAACCTATAATTTGGGAACGCGGAGGAAACAGATTTGAGAATCAAAGAACGAATGTTGGGCACAAAATCTCTCCAGAAGACAGCTCAACCAGAATGCCTACTCAACCAGACCCTCATGAATCTCCAACAACAGCATTAAGAATGAAATATGCAGATGCGAAGGAGAGAGAAAGAACTAAAATCGCATTGATCGACAAGCCACAGCAGCAAGTGGAAGATTGTGCTCCGACTGTCTTTCCATCGAAAACCGACAAAAAAAAACATTTTTTTACTGGGGAAGAAAGGCTTATCAGTGAGAAAAGATAACCTAGTGGGCCTCTCTGCAAGCGGCTGCCACAAGGATTGCCAGCTACCTCATTCAACCTCAACCCATTTCCTTTGCGCACACTCTCTCTGTTCCCTCCTCTCCCTCCTGAACCAGGACTAAGGAGGGGGGAGTAAATGGCAGTAGAAAAGGAAAAGGATTTTTTAGGGAGTAGCAGAGAGAAGAGAGGAAAAAAAAAGATAGTGACTGAGCAGCAAAGCTTGCAGCTCTTTCAGGTATTTTGTTTCTTTCGATTTGGTAGGGAAAACTACTATTGAGTTTATTTTTTATTAATAGAATTTTTTTTAAGTTATGCCGAAAGATAATTTTTAATTAGACCATTTTTATTTTAAATTTTAGCATATTTTCCACTCTTATTATTTATTAAAAAATTATTTTAAAAAACAATAAAAAATCATCCCAAATAAAACTTTAAATTTTTTTAGCAGTGTATATTTACATAGATTTATGTGTCATATATTCTAATGATTATTTTTAATTATTTTAAATTTAAATAATACTTTTTGTGCATATAAATTGTATATAATTTAAAATTAGTGTGGGTGTAAACTAAGATTATTAAAGGCTGCCCTTTTTAACTATCTGAACCCTCCTATTTTCTAATCAAAATCTTATTAATATTCCCTTATTTTATTGTGTTAGCTTCTTGTTTGATGTTGTGCTATAAGAAATCATAGCTTACAATCCCCATATAAGTTTTTGATCAATCAATGAAATGTTGGGTGCAACCCTCAATTTAGAAATTTAAAAATAAAAAAGGGTCAAATTATGATATTTTTTATTTTTTTGTGAAATTTATTCTATTTGTATCTTAATGTTTTATTATTTTTTTATCTACAAATTGATCAATTTAATTTTATATCATTTAAATATAATATAATATAAATATGATGTATTAATTTTTAAGTCCTTATTTTATATCATAGAGTTAACTAAGACTTTGCTTGGAATAGCTTTTTTACTGTTTCTTAGAATAGCTTTTTAATACAAAATTTTAACTTTTGTACTAAAAGTTGATTTAGTACAAAATTTTAACTTTTGTATTAAAAGCTGATTTAAGAAGCAGTAAGAAAGTCATCATAAACAAAGCAGTGAGATAACTTTTTTATTGCTTCTTAAAATGACTTTTTAATTTAAAAATTAAATTTTTATACTATAAAGCTGATTTAAGAAGCAGTAAAAAAACCATCTGAAATGAAGCCTAAAATTTAAATAGATTTAAACATCTTAATATGTTGGTGGGCCCTTGAGTTTAAATAGTTCTCTCCATCTCTTTTTAGTATTTGGAAGGACCTTAAAATAAGCATTTGAGCTCCTACAACTTTAATTATTAGCTGTGCAAATTTATTGCACAATGACTATAGAGCATGTGGGTGTGAAGAGACAAAACAGCTTTTGTTGCTCCCCCATGTGAAGAATTTTAAGGAAAATAGTGCAATTAATATTTTTTCACTTCTCTTTGAATTGTTGATAATGTGATTTCTTGTATTATATTAAATTCTTTTATATTTACATATTAAAATTTAAATTTTTATATGTACTTGTATAATATATAAATATCAGAATCATATTAAAAAACACTATTTTGATAAATAATTTAAATTTAAATTTTATATAGACAATCATTTAACTGAATTTTAACTGTTTCTTAAAGAATTAATTATTATACATAGAAAAAAAAGGACAATATGATAGGTGATCAATTAGTATTATTTTAACCTTTTTTTTTTATTTCAACTTATCTGATAAATTCCTTTTTACTTACTAACAGTTATACTATTTTGTTAAATAAGTTGGATTTAATTTCCTTTAGCTAAAACAAGTCTAATGGCATCTCAAAATTCTTTAACAATCATAAAAAAATATTAATTTTTATTTGCAGAATATTTCATTAAATAAAATTTCAAATATTTTATAAAAGTATGAGGCTCGACTCATGAGCTCGCAAGCTGGCTCGGCTACCTATTAGAATTTTTTTTTAAATAAAATAATTACTATTTTTAATAAATTTATATGCTAAAAAATGCTGCATTAATTTTTTTAAAGAAAATTGTAACAGCAACAATAAAAGTGCATCGTTTTTTAAATAATATATTACGTATGGTTAGGGGCCACCCAACCTCTCTACTCTTCACCATGCTTAGAAGATCCATCCAATCATGATTTGAGGTACTATTATTGGTAATCTAAGATATTTAGAGTTCTATTAGAGAATCAAATCTCATTATAGCCCAAAAAAAAGATCGCCACAAGATGTTATGATTTTATGAGGATGACTTTCTTCTGCTTTGAGGGGCGGAACGAGTCATAATTTTCAGGGGGGTAAACTTATAAGTAATTGTTGTCAGATATGTTGGGGGTCCAAGGGGGCAGCGCCTCCTGCCAGGGTTCGACCTGCTCGATCAGGTTGCAATATATTTGGTTCATCATTCTCTAACAATAACACCACTACACAATATATTTAATTATACTAGGGGCAAATGTCTAAAGACCATAATATTTTAAAACTTTGTGAGGGGGGTAATTTCCTAAAAACTCTTATAATAAATACTAAAAAATAGATTGAGGGGGGGAGCAATCATTACGTCCGGTCACCGAATGCGTTCATAGACCAACAACCACGCGCCACGTCACCTAAAACTTGATATTACTCGGTATACATTCGGATACGTTCAGATTTGACCGGACGTAATAATTTTATGTGTGTGTGTGTGTGTGTGGGGGGGGGGGGGGGGTTTCTTTGGAGCCACTTCCAAGGAGGAGTAATTTTTAACATGAACAAAGAGATTCCGCCCCTATCTACTTCATCACATGTTGAGACTACTCGAGAGAAGCCATAGCCGCCTAACATGGCTTGCAAGACCGCACAACTCATTACCTTATAGAATGGATCAACATTGTGGGTAATGGTCAATTACTTGAAATTTTAATACTCTCATTATTCCACCCCTTATAAGAGTTCTTCATATTAGCTATCAATTTTTAAGGGGAAATATATGATGATATGAGGGTATACTTCTAATATAGGAGATTTCATAAAAGAGATAACAGCGGTCCAAAGTGATAGGACCATTAAATTTTATGTTGATCAGTGTAAAATACTTACGAGAACTCATATCATTGAAGTCGAGTCAAATAAAGAGAATGTGGGTTATTTAATCTCCCAAAAGAATTAGGCTCCCTATGATTAACTTAATGCCCGAGGATACTTCTAATTGCAACTCTTAATAATTAAAATATGTTTTTATCTTAATTTAGTTAATCTAATTATAAAAAAGAATACTATAATTACAAAACAATTGACCTGATGTGTAATATATGCTTTAAGATGGATTAATCTATAAGATAGAGAATGAATCATCATAACTAAGCATGATGATTGTGTTATCATATAGAAATGTTATATAGTATGAGTTACTGAATCTCCAGAGACTAAATAAAAGAATATAAATGGTCCAAAAGAGTTATAAGAGAGGAGTAAAAGGTACCAAAAAAGTAAAAATAATCGTAGTAAGCAAAGAGGTTTAATTAATGGCTAGCTCAATTATGTATCTTATCTAAGAGATACAAAGAGAACAATTGTTCATTTAAAATTTATTTGAGTGAGCTTTCATTTTTATAAAAAATATTTTTTTAATTGACTTTTAAGCTATTTATCAAATTTGATAGAAAAAAAAAATTAATCTCAAAGCATACCACAAAATCGTCTTTATCCGAGACAAATGCCAAGCAGTGAAGAAGGTGAAAACATCATGTAAAAGTACTATAAAAAATTATAAGAGCAAATAAAATAGTACTCACCGATGCTTAGTTTGGTTGATGAGCGAGTACGATTGGGAACCCCCGAACCAATGCTCGATTCCCCTCAAGCAGCATCTCCTCTAAAGTGGGGCCCAATCAAGTGTGATCCAGCAGATTTCTGGGGTGGGTGCCTCTTCCAAATCAGCCGAGGATTAGTAACACCGCCAAGCGCCCTTTTGAGGGTGGCAGCAGGTGAATACCTCGTTCCCAAATAAAAATGAAAATAAAATAGTGTATTATGATGGCTATAAAAGAATGAAAAACAGGCCAGTGCATTTGGACAATTGGATATACATACAAAAATATAGTAAAATGTAAATGAGCTCTACATATGCATGCTCAGAACATTCTTAGTTCTATACAAAATAAAATTTACAGTGAAGTATAAGCTCATAAAATCCCTCTAGTTCTAGTCCTTATCATTTAGTTCTATATATATAT